CCTTTTTTCTTTTTACTAAAAATTCATTTTCCTCTCCTTATCCTTCCCCTATCCCCACTCCCCCCCCCTCTTCTTTACACTTTATCTTATCTTATACCAGGGGCACCACACTTGACCAGGGCTCTTCGCCCTGACCAGACCTCTCCATGGGGGTGCTCGCCCTGCTCGGCGCGCCTTTGGGCTCTCTTGCCCACTACTGCACTGTACGTGACAGCCCGTGCCACGACAGCTGAACCAGAATTGTGTCTCCATAAACCCACCAAATCAGGGCAAACACAAAACCCTGAAAACTGGTGGCAAGCGGCTGAATGACACGAAAAACTGTTAGTACACCATTGGCTATAATTTCCTTTCTTTTCCCTTTTCATCGCCTATGTGTGCATGCCGTATTTATTTTTACAAGTGCAGTGATTCCCCCCCCCCAAATATCTGAACAAGTGTCCGTGCAAGTGCATTTTCTTTCCTTCTTTCTGTTATCTACCATGTTTTTTCTCGTCATGGTAGATCGTTTTTTTGTGAATCAATTCCCATTTTTATCACTTGCGAGAGTGCATTTTCTTTGGCGTGTTTTCTCTTAAATCTAACGATCATGCTAGCCTAATTAGCATAAATCGCTTATAATGCTTAAATATTTTATTCATTTGGGTGAATATATCGTGCATTTTTCTAAATTATTAATTATTTCTACGGACATTCTAGGTCACGTGACTAGTTCAAAGTATTGCCATATTCTCGACATTTTTTTCTCATTATCTCTCACTGCGTTAACCGACGCCATATCGACGTTCAATTCGCCTATTAAGTGTATATATTTAGGCTGAATATTTAAATAATTTGGTTGAATTATGCACAAACAAACATTTCCCCCACGCTTCCCACCTACCCCCATCATCCTAAACCCCTCCCTTCCTCCTAACCCCCACCCGTTAATCCCCCTCCCTCTCTACCTACTTTCAATATTTCTGTTCAGGCACAAGCGTTAAATTATTTTTTTTTTTGTGTGTAGTGATAACGTTTTATATTTTTTCTTTCCATATCTATATTTATACAAGAAAAGCGTGTCTTGTTTATTTGTATGTTTAAATGAATATCAACAGTATTTTTATGTATAAAGTGTCATATTCGTTTTCTAGTGCGAGTGAATGAACACATAGCTTTTCAGGTCATTTAAGGTCAGGTCTTGTCAATAAATGACAGATCTCACCTTTTGTGACCTGTCTTAGTACTATTTTCCACATTTTTTTCTGAAATTTAATTTCATTTATATAACACGACGATTTACGATAGAGTGATGTATTTACTTCCGGTTTGCATGAATATATTGGGAACTGTAATAATACTAGCATAATTCATCGAATTATAATTTTAAGTTATTATTATAGTATAATTGTGCATATTCTGAAGCATATTTTGCCGTAATTATTCGTCTTCCTTATAGATATATATTTTTCATTCAATCATTCAAATATGGTAAATCCTTACTTTTCATTTATCGGTAATTTGATTATTTGATTTCTAGATTATTGTGTACTTTTTACAATATTATTTACTAGCTATTTCTATTTTTAGCGAATGTTCAGATAACGACATTTGACCTTACTCAGGTAGAAGGTACTTACAGCCATCTGACTTTGCTCGACCCAAAAATACATTCAAGCTATTTGTATTTATTTCTTATTCAATGATCTCCGTGTTAGAGATTAATTATAGTATACAGATACTATGATTTCATATTGTTCGTGATTTTCGCTTTCATGATCTTAATCACGAACCTCACCTCATCATTATTACATGGTCCTTGGTGACGTACCCCAGCTGGGTATGGACATGTAATTAGGTTATGGTAATTAATGTTCAGTTGTTCTCATGTGCCGAGTCGCACACCTATCGCCAAGGCGATCTCAGCACCGCGCAGCGCCTCCTTATTGCTATAGTGAGATAATCGCTGGTATTCCCCAAGGAGATGGGTACCCAATTGCGTTCTGCGTATGAGCTGGATGATATGTCCCTTCTACGGTTGGGTAATCATGTCATCACTTTCCCCAGGGAATTAATTCTAAGTATCACTTACAACCACGAGGCTGTCAGATAAGGGAAGCTGACCCAAACCCGCATGCATCATGCATTGCTCTGTAAGCTTAGTCTGTTCTGCAACAGACCAGTCACCATTTCATTCATTTTACATACTAATTAAAGTACCATTTTGCATGATTTTACATAGTAGTTGATTAATATTGAAATTAACTTGTTCATTGTTATTAGTGTGAATGTTTTTTTTTTCGTGCAGTCAGATCGGTGATTATTTTCATTCCCTTAGCCTCCCGCCCACCCACTCCTCCTCCCCTTCGCCTTTTTCTTCCAACTTCCACACCATCCTATTCCTATTTAAGTCACTCTCGCCCTTACTTTAACAAATTACTAATGACTCTAAAAACTAAAATATATCTATCAGCATTCTAATTTCTTCTCGTGCTATACTCTGACTTACTCATTTCATAACTCTCACCCATTAAATTAATCAACTCGTCTACGCACTCATGCAGCCACATGCGCACATCGTCCCGCAGAAACCCGTTAATTGCACAAGAATTACATGCGTACTATTTCTGGAAGATAACAGACTTGCGCCAATCGTGTATTCTTGTCGCATTACGTTTTATCGTACAAATGTTGTCTTGAGAAAGTATATTTTGATGTAATGAGTCGCTCCCGAAGTATGAGGACTGCATTACCTATTTTCTTTATTACTTTGCCTCGAACTGCTGTTGGTGACGTGTGATACACAACTTCCTTGAAATGAGATAAATTTACTATTAGTCAGACGTATACCGTATGCACTATTGCAATGCACATTTTTGAAATCTGCATTGTTGCATTTTTTCTTTTTTCCAAGGAAGTTCGTCGTTCAAGACAAGTCCTTGCGGACTGCAACACCTTTTGCTTCCTGGTAGTTCTGCACAATGCTTATCTCTTGTAGATTTTCATCTCCTGCTATCTGAGGCAATTGCAACTCAGGCAAGTCCTCGCACACTATTGCAATTGTCTCCCTAAGCATGTTCCTCTGTCTATCCTTGGACAGTGCATTATTGAGAAAAAAATATAAAAAATGAAAAATCATGCAAATAAGTAACACTGTCATTGCAATGTGATATATTTTGATTATATCTTACGGCTATTACACAACCCCCCCCCACTTTTTTTTTGCCCTCCTGTCTCTCACAGTGTCTCTGCCTCGGTGTACTTATTTCAGAGAACGCCAGCACCAGCCCGTCGCGGACGACGGTTAGTAGCGTATGCCGAGCGATCTGAGGAACAAGGATTACCTTCCCATGTCTCCACTGGTAGGGACCCGCGACCAGTGCTTGAAACCTACAGGACAGTTGACCAGGGGCACCACACTTGACCAGGGCTCTTCGCCTTAACCAGGCCTCTCCATGGGGGTGCTCGCCCACGCGCGCCCTGCTCGGCGCACCTTTGGGCTCTCTTGCCCACTACTGCACTGTACGAGACAGCCCGTGCCACGCTACCTACCCCTCCTATCAATAAACAGCTGAACCAGAATTGTGTCTCCATAAACCCACCAAATCAGGGCAAACACAAAACCCTGACTCTCTCTCTCTCTCTCTGGCATTTCTATTGTTTTACGAGTTTTTTCAACCTGCTCTTTTATCAACAGTGCTTTAATGATATGTTTGATAAGGACTTCCTTTTAATATGCACAGACTAGGCATGGCGCTAGTTAGTGGGAAGTCTTCCCCCCGCTGCCACCGCACGCACACTGACACTTGGCCGTTTCCATTTTGCTTGTTTTTTTTTTTTATTGGCCCAGGCTCAGAGGCTACCCTGACATTCATAGAGGTAAGCTTTAACTGAGAGACATGCATGCTTATTTTAATCTTAGGAGAGAGAACAGAAAGAACGCAAAAGCAACAGTTAGATTATTGGATTCGGTGCAGCGTGACCAATACGTTATTGTAAACAGCAGGAAAGCTTAGTAAATGTTACCAAACTTGTGAAATTAGTTTTGACATTAGGTGTGGCTGCGCACAAACTCAGAAGTCCAGTGGCGGTTGTCATGTACTGCTGCTTGCAGATGTCGCGGTCTTTGATAATTTCATCATTCGACTGAAGCCGAATTGTCTCGGCGGGTAATATTTCAAACGTAGAGGAGAGGAAATCGCACCCAAGTCATAACCAGGCGTCGCAGGCAAAGCGAAGGCGGGCGTTCTTGTATATTTTTCCTTTTTCTCCGCCTTATTTCCGTTCCTCGAACTCAAGCCTCCGACTGCAAGTAATTTCTCCCTCCTTACCGATTTTCCGGGAATTGCAAGAGCACCTTCGTGTGTGTGTGTGCACGTACATATACACATATAGGTGTGTGTGTGTGAGAGAGAGGGTGGAGTAGGTGTATCTCTCTCTCTCTCTCTCTCTCTCTCTCTCTCTCTCTCTCTATATATATATATATATATATATATATATATATATATATATATATATATATATATATATATATATATATGAAAGGGTAAAGAATGCAAGAGAAGGACATTGTCATAAACAAGGTCAAATGGCAGTTATCCTACGTGAGCGTAGCGACTGCTAGGAGTGAATGAGTGTGCGAGTCGAAGTGTGAACGAAGCCCCGTGAAGCAGTGACGTAGGTATGTGAGGATGTATGCATTCGAATGAAATAAAATGTTGAACGAGTAAATGAATGTTGAATGTGGTGTGTGTTTTGTTATTCTTACATTATATATTTTTTTCTATGTAATCATTGTAATTATTTCTTAATAAGTAAGTGACCTAATGCGTGAACAATATTCATTCCATAACCAAAGAAAATGAAAAAACACATAAATAGAAAATCAAGAAAATGTGACCAACGAAAATAAATTGAACCAGAGTAATGTGCAAATAAAATATAACAAAAGAAAATCACATGAACCAACAGATGAAAATAAAACAATGAATGTCCAGGGGAATCCCCTAGCGTGACGTCCCATTCACTCTCAGACAACTGCCCAGACGAGACACGCCCACCCGAGGGGGCAATCAACCATAACTCTTACAAATCCTCGGTAAGGAAAAGCGAACCCGTGTTAAACCCCTAGTAAATGTGAAAGTGATTTTAATACTGAACAAAAAAGAAAGTAAAGACGTGAAGTAAGATAAGGTATTTATCAATCAACAGGGTTTCCGGTGTGCATTGTAACATTGCTGAGCCACGTCACAAAGTACACCCTTCTGCCTGCGTGAGGCGTGAGGCGTGGGGCGTGAGGCGTGAGACACGAGGCGTGAGGCGTGAGGAGTGAGGAGGAGAAGCGGCTATAAGTCTGAAGATAGAGAAGAGGAGAGAAAGTGAAGAAAAGTGAAAAGTGGAAAAGAAAAAGTAAAACGTATCACACCCGGACTTTACGTAAGATCTTAAGGAAACAGTGAACTTTAAGGTTACATTGGTCACATTGGTAATACATAATAAGTGCACAAAAATAGGGGTAACAGATAATATTTTATTGCTTCATCATTTGAATTATTTTGCGGGTTTACATTTATTATATATATATATATATATATAATATATATATATATATATATATATATATATATATATATATACATATTTACTTAATATAGATATGTATATTCATATACATGTGTATAAATTTATGTGTATATGTACGCGCGCGCAGACCGCACACACACACACACACACACACACACACCACACACATACACACAAACATACACACAAACAAACACACACACACACACACACACACACACACACACACACACACACACACACACACACACACACACACACACACACACACACACATATACACACACACGCGCACACGAACACACACACAAAAAGAAAAAAAACACACGTACATATATGCATATGTATCTAAAGATATGTGTCTGTGTGTGTGTAACGAGAGAAAGAGAAAGTCCAAATATTGGCTAAGCTCTTAAAAGTTAAGTGCCGCCGGAAGAAAAGGAAGGAAGCGAGCGTAGGAGTATACTGTGAATCAGAGGAATAAATGGAAGGTGAAACTACAATGGGAGCGTTAGTGTCTTCTTTTTTTTTAATGTTGTATAGTTAAACGCCACCTTTCCTTACTGGAGTTAGGAGGCATCGGTATGCCAGGTAAGGTTCTCTCACGTGCTTCTGAGACGTATCAGAAACCACAAGCTGAGGCACCAGAGGCCGAGGCAATTTGGATTCCCTCCTGGTAAATCCACAATAGACGGTATCCTGGCGCTTCAAGTCATTGTAGAGCGCCGTCGTGAGTTCAAGCGTGAATTACACGTAGCCTGCATCGACCTCAAGAAGGCATTTGACTTGCTACATCGCGAATCATTCTGAGAGATCCCAAGACTGAGAGGAATCTCAACGAGGATTATCGAATTAATAGCAATCCCGTATACTATTAATGAAAGTGCTGTGAAGTGTGGTGTCGAACATCTTCCATGGTTCATGAGTAAGGGAAGGTTATGGTCTCTCACAAACACATCATATATAGTCCACAGTCATTGCGAAGCAACATTGGGCAATATTTAAGTTAACAACCTTACATTGCTGACGATGTTCCTATTCTATTTGAGTCTATAGAAACCCTAGTGGCGGCTCTAGATGCATTTACTCCAGAGGTCTCCTGGAACGAGAATACAGGGCCATTATCCACGAAAGTTCTCAGACAAATCTGAGACAAATATTCAGACGTGTCTGAGAAAAAAATAGGTCGTTCGTTTATTTACATCGTTGATCTATGCTTATTTAGTAATTACTTAATACATTAAAATATTTGCAAAAATGCGTTTCCTGTCCATAACACACGCAAATCAGTCATTACATTAGAAAAACAAACACAAAACAAAAATCGATACAAAATGTGAAGACGGCCTTAGCTGAAGCAAAGCATGTTCTCAACTTTTGTGTCAACTCTGTCTCAAATGTAAGACAAGGTCGCAAAAGTCTTAAGTCATTTGAGAATAGACAGACGGTTTCACATTCGATTATAGGCCTATGTACGTATATGTGCATATGCGTGTGTGAATGTATAGATTTATGAGTGTATATGCATATGTATGTCTGTGTATATGCATATGTGTATAGATGTATGTATTTGTTTGTGTGTGTATATATATATATATATATATATATATATATATATATATATATATATATATATATATATATATTATGTATCTATGTATGTATGACTTAACCACTTGCGACCCTGTCTTACATTTAGTTTCAGCCAACCTCAATAGTTAGAAGAATGTTTTTTTGTGTTAATAACGCTAGTTCTTGTTTTCAGTGGGTAATGTCAGCTGTACAGATGATCCTGATTTTGCTCAAGCGCTTTGGCCAGATACCCTACCTCCAGATAACCCAGGGCAAGACAAGCTGTGGGGATCACCTGAGGAAGTTAACGGTGAAACCTGAAAAAAAAAAAAAACATGCGGGAAGATAAATCCAGTAAAATGCAGCCAGGGAAATTACAGCACAGGGCCTCGGACACAGGAGAGTTAGCCCGACACACTATCATAACGGCAGCCAACGTGCCGGGGAGCCAACCATCTTGTCTTCAAACGCAAAGAGAATCAATACAATTTTTTCGAAGTGCTGACAAGGGTCGGAGGTTAAAAGAGGAAGTGAACTGACAGGCAAATGTATTGGAGGCCAAATGAAAGGCGATAAGATTAACCCGAGAAAAAAAAAAGTTATCAGGAAAGGAAAACATGAAAATACAGACATGATCGAGTTTGTTTTTTCGCTCCGAGCTGCTTCGGAAAGCGGAACAAGAAAACAAAGAAATTGTTCGGTGAAGAGAAAAGGAATTGGTAACTTTAAGACTAGTACCATGACTTACAGGAAAAACATTAAATAATAATAACAAAAAAGACGCTATAGTACTGATATCTATTATTAATACAGATATAAAGGTAACAATGGCAATAATGACCATAGTAATGATAAACAGCGTAGCAGCTATTTTGCTGTACTAGAAAATGATAATAGGTATAAAAAGTAACAATATTGATAAATAATCGTTATGTCAGAAGAAAAGATCATTTCTACTCTTAAAGCAAAATATGCAAGTGGAAGAAAACAACTCCCCTGAACGCAGGAAGCTGAGAGGTGTGTTGCAAGAAATATGAGCCTCCGACGGCCCGAACACGAGGACACGCATTAAAACAAAAGAACCGCCTGAGCAACAAAGTATGGAAAGAGAGAGAGTGGGAATGAAGATAGAGAAAGGGAGGAAAATAGAGAGTGAATCAGATTCAAATAATTGGTTTAGCCAAATATTACTAAAAACATAAAGCATAATATAACCGAATACGGCTGAGCCCTCCAGTTTACTCTTTTAGGAAGGTCTACAGTAATATAGTTATTGAGCTTTAAACAATAGGGTTTATACTGCCGACATAAGGATATACAAATACTGAATATATTATCAGTTACACAACCTAACTTTATATAGTTGCACTAAACTGAATATCAATGTTTTACTAGAAAGTCTAGTATTGTTAGTAGTTATCTTGCATACGACTACTTTCATTATTTTACGACACCGACATTAAACAGGAGTTCTTCTAACATGATAGAGAGCATAATGGAATATCTGATATTGTTTCACTGTTTTTGAAAGGTAATAATGTGCATTTTCAGAAAGACCATTACTAAGGAAAGGTCCTCGATGCAAGACTTAATTTTCAGATTTCATAAATGTCAGTCAAGAGGTTATTATGATTTGTATTATACCTTCCACTTGCTTTGGTATTTAACATTTTATTACCAGGAGTGTGTATGTATATAAGCAGCAACAGTATCTATTGTATTATATTTCAGTGATTCTTTAAGGAAGAAGCTGCCATTTGTATGGTCACATGTTCTAGGACTAAGATAGTTTGTATCACTCGTTTTGAACTATAATTAAGGGTTTCATGTATTAATCAGCTGCTCCCCATGTGATTTGCCCACACGTCAAATACGGGAATATCAAGGAATTATATAAGCGCTAGTGTCTTTACATGCCCACATAGTTTACTGAACTTGTGCTGAATACTGTATAGTTAAAGTTAGTTTCCCATTTTAACTGAAAATCTACGTAATCACCAGAAAAAATAATGGATTCTTGTCTTTTAAGTAAACGATGTCCTCTCTTTACTTGTGACCGACTGAGTGGTAACTGCCTTATTCTATGGAAGATGGCATAATGATAGTTTTCGAGATTTAGATTCTATTTACTTAAACCAACCCAATTATCGATAGTAGTTCATTATTATTTAAATTGATCAGGGTATGCAGTGAATTACTAGAGTTGCATAGACATGTGTCCGGCATAAATGTCCTTTAATATATGCAAAGGAATGAAGGATTCCTTTTCTCACATTATATGTATATAATTAAGATAATAAAGAACTTGTTTGATTTATTTTATTTACAAAAGAAAAATTATTTAATTTCATTTAGTTTGTAACTTTTTGGCCAGTGACGCTAGAGTTATACGAACGCCCTACAAAAACGCTTTGTTTTGAATCCGCAGAGGCCTCGCCCGAAAGCCATATGATACGCCTTTTGCTGCGTAGATTTCGACTGTTCTTGCTTTGTGAAAATTGGCCACACTGTAAATCAACTATTTATACTGTTAATGATGTATTGTTGAGATGTTTGAGCATATGTTAATAACATAGTTGTGTATTTTATGTGATATATAACGAAATTATGTGATATAATTAAGTGCCATTCCAACTGTATTCTTATATTTTTATGTAGCTTTATTTCAGTTATTTACCAAAGAATAATGTTTTGTTTCCTTTACATTTAATGCTAGTCTTTAGTTATTGTCTTTTATAAAGTGCCTTAAATAGCTCAGGAAATGTCTTACAGTAGTATAAGGAATAGGAATTCGTTTGTTTGTTTAATGTTTAAAGGATACTAGTCTAGCAGTATTCTTTTCATATTTTTTCATTGATTCGTTTGATTTCTATCTCATATTGTGTTACTATTACTTGATATTTGTATGATTTATTTACTTTATTTATGTATAACTTTATATCTCCAAATTTGTCAGGATTTATTTTCTTACAGCTTTTCACCGCGCGTGCAAGTATTGTCAAGTTCACAAGTTACCAGTTTGTGAACTAGACAATAAAGGTTTAACTGACTGCAAGTTTTTACTTGAAGCAGTACAATGTATTTGTGTTGATTCTCTCATTGAAGTACAAAGGGAAAAGAACAGGGTTGAAAACCGAGCCCTGCGATTACGATATGTAAGGTACTTAAAGGTGGTTACTTAATGATACATATTGATTTCGGTTGTTTCAATAGATTGAAAACCATTTGTGAACTGTGTCTCGGATTCCATAGTTTTCATATAAGTGAACATCTGCCTATTCTGTAGATTTATGTTTCATGGATCCATATTGAGAGCCAGTTATCTTTCCCTCTACCTTTAAAACGGTATCAAATTGCCTACTGATAATTTTCTTCAGATTTTTTTCTGTAAACCATCTGTGTGAGTCAGATCGCAAGCTGCATAGGATGAACTTTAGTTATTTTGATTTATCTACAAATATTCCTGTTTATATTAGGTTATGCTTATGCTTCATGCGATTGAGTATGGTTCGAATAATCTGCGCGACTATAAGCATTGAGATACCGCCATAAACAGATCTTCCCAGCTCTCACAATTTCTAAAAATAAGAAGAAAAAACAAATAATTTGACATGCGCTAAGAAACGCCTGGAGGTCTCTGTCGTTGGGAGAGGAAACAGCTTAAGCTAGACTTTTGTCAATATCACAAATAACAATAAAAATCTAAGCTTGGAACTGAACGAGTTTATTTGCTTAAAATTTATATTTGGCAACACCAATAATGCGAGTTATTTGTTAGTAGGTAATTTACGTAGGATTTTTTTCACCATGATTAATCAACCACTTGGCGATTTTCTATCAGATTTCTCGCATACTGTGCTACACCTCCATAATCACGAGAACGATTAGTAAAGTAATTTGGCAATGCACAA